TCGAACTGCTCTTCAGGGTGGGCGCACCGGCCGAATCATCTTGGAATCGTAGATCGGCCAAAGTGGTTCTTCGAGCCTCCAGTTGGGCACAAGGCACTATATGTTCAGTTGGTTTTGCATGCCACCTACTGTCTTCCTGCCTTTTTCACCATACTCCCTTGCTTCTGCAGAACCTAGGACGGATGCAGCACTGTGGATTGTTTGATACAACATCCAGCCGGTAGCAATGAGGGCACCTGGAACCGGGATGTTCATCACAGAGGAACCTGGTCCCATATAAACAACACAGACAACGAGCCAACCGAAGGACTCTAACACTGGCCTTCTCCTCCACTGGTAGAGTGAAGGCCAAGACCTTCCCAAAGTTTCAATCCATTATACTTGATCAACTTAGCTACACAGCCGCGCCTCTACATCGAGGCGCTCCATCTGCATCACTACAACGACTGGCACATAACAATACAACATGCATTGAAGATGTTTCACTCTTCGCTCACTCAGCACATTGCACAATATTGCACTGCATGCACCAACATGTTCCATGCATCGTCAGTGCATTCAAGTCCACAAACACTCACAGAGAAGCACCCCTGCATATGAGCACACTGTTTTTTGCAACCCTGGTGGCAGACCACGTGCATCTCGAGCTTTCCGGATCCACCTGGTTCAAGGCAAACATAGACACTTTTCTCACAAATACAATGGGCTGCATCTATACGCCTGCACAACATGAGAGATGTCATCTATAAAATCTGCTTGAAAGTGTTTTGTTCAACAGAACGAACTTTACAGCACAGATCAGCTAGATACCCCAATCTCAAAAACTACACGAACCAACAACATCTACACCACAATGCCAGTGATCCGTCCAATAACCCATTATTTCAATCTACCTGTAGCTCATGCTAACCAGGGGCCACATCTGACACCCTTAATCCTACAGCCTGAAGCTTCGGCATATATGAAATCGGCAGCCCCAACATGGCACGACGTGTCCACAACTGGGGAATCAGCAACTTACTGGTAGATGGGCTATATCTCCCTCATCACACAAAATGCACAGTATGTAGCCAGAAGGACCAAGACCAAGAATAAAACTGCTGGTTTAAGGGTAAACACCCAAAAAAGCAGGCAAACCCAGTCTATGGCAAGAACATCACAACGAGATCCCTCAAAGCCTGTTTGCAATCATATCGCGCCTCATAGAAGATTGCGCGCCCATTGGTCCGCAAGGTAGAACCCCAACTGGGCCGCTTGTTTTGTCAGAGATTTTCGGGTTCACTGCTTGCATAAGGCGAGTGACTCAAGAAACCCATCATCAACCAAGTTCCACGCACTGACTGGAGCAGCAAAATCTGCAGCAAGCTTCTTGACCTCAGCGGAGTACTGTGCCACTTCAGAATCTCCCTCGGACATAGGTGCTACCGACATGATAGGCCTGCTGCTAACTATAAAGACTTGGAATCCTGCACCCACTCCAAGAAAATACGACATGCAAAAACGTATCGAACCAAACACCCAACCCAACAGATTGCCAGGTCATCCCGACATGCACTGTTTTGAAAAGCTCAGAAGTTGATGGAGCCCCAAACGGAATCCTTGAGCAGAGCTAACACTGCACAGATTTTGGCATTTAACATATTACTCACAAAAAGCAGCTGCAAGCATGGTCCAAGAAAGAAGTGGCAATCACAGCAAAGTGCTTGGGGAACCACCACTGGAATCATCTTGGAGCTGCAAGTGGGCCAAAGTGGTTCTTCCAGCCTCCAACGCACTGTATTCACATACATGCACCCTCGCTTTGCAAAGCCTCGCATTTTATTCCTGCCTTTTTCACAATATAGTTGTACTCATTCTGCAAGTGCAACAGCACCTACACCGAATGCAGCACTTGACACAGCAAGCTCAACAACAGCCTAACAGCTAGCAGCAATGGCACCTGAAACAGGAAGTTTTCTTCAGACCAGCACCTGGTCCAGTTCAGCCAAGCTAAGCACTCAAACAACCATGCTAGAACTGGCCTTCTCAGGCATTCACAGAGTGAAGGCCAGCACCTTTCCCAAAGACAGGTTTAAAACTTTTCTTAACAAAATGGCTATACAGCCCACCTCTGTGATCGAGGAGCTCGGTCGAGGACACGATCGCTACGACGACTAGGGCACAAAGGATGCAACGTATTCTGATGCTTTGGATGTTTTGTTTCACACGTGACTCTTTACAGCTGCACTGCATGCACAAACATATGCAGTACAGAAAGAGCTCTCTGTGCACTGCAGAAGCAGTCACACACAAGCATCATTATTTTTCACTCCTTTTTTCTTCTCAAGCACCCCAGCCCTCCGGGACCCAGAGATTCTGGCCATCATCCATCACGGACCCGAACTTGATATCCATAACATTCACTCCTGGATGATTTGCAGCAATTTCGGTCACCTTCATTCTGTGCATGTCAGGCGAGCCTTCGGCACGAAGCTCATCACCATATTCCTACATGGGCACAAGTCCAGGCATTCCCAAGCCCCACATCGAGCATACATGAGCATCACATGTCCTCTTCATACGTCTTGTCCCACACATATATTTTGCGAGTCCAGGCCGGCGTCTGTGTGCCAACGGTGCGAGGAGCCGAATCCAGCTTCTTCTGTCTGCGGATCTCATTGTACTTCTGCCAGTTGGATCGGCCGCTTCTGTTTTTTTTTATAGCAGCCTTTTTCCGGGCATCCTTCTTACCCGGATGGCTCTTCATAGCGGGCTTTGGGGCATCCTTCTTACCCGGATGGCTCTTCATAGCAGGCTTCTCGGCATCCTCCCCCTTCTGCAAAACAGGCTTTTTAGCCTTCTTCTTTTTGGGGCGCACAGGCATCTTGATCCAACTCTACAGGCAAAGAGCATCATGATCGCCGACATGACAGCCAGGAGAGTGGACAGAGAGAGAGAGAGAAAGAGACAGAGTACATGCAGGTGCCCACAGACCGAAAGAAAGCTATGCACACAGCCAAGTCTACAAGATTTGTACATTTAGTTCACATACACACACACACGCACACACACTTCGACAGAAGTCCTAGACAAAACGCCCATCTCTACTCCGACTACTACTCCTGCTCCTCGTGCCACTGCCTGGATTCTTACAATTTCTACTCCTATTCTACACTGCCACAAGCACTGCCAGTGCTGCTACTATGACGACGACGACGACTACCACTATTCCTGCTTCTGCATCGAAATGCTTCACACGTGATTGAGTTCATACCGGGCAATGTGCAGTCATTAGATTAAGGTGTGTGTGTGTGTGCCCGTGTTGGCAACAAAGCTTGTGTTAACTGCTGCAGTGCTCTAGATTACACAGCTCCGGCAAAGAGCATTCTCCGAGGACTAGGCCTCGGTCTGTCTAAGTGGCCTGAAACATGAGGTGTTGAACTCGGAAGATCTGCTGTCAGGCTTTAAAGCTTCAGCAAATCAGTGTTAGTCTGGGGCAACAAGTTTCCACAGTGCTTGTGGCTCATCTTCCCAAGTACAAAGTATTACTAGAGTACTAGTACTCATGGCCGTAGTACCGGTAGTAGTAATAGTAGTAGTAGTAGTTGTTGTTGTTGTTGTTGTGGTGGTGGCAGTCAGGATCCTAGCAGCACCAATAGAAATCTTGGTTGTGCAAGCATTGATCATAGTGGCATAGTGGATATAATTCTGCGTGTGCATGCATGCATCTTTCATGCGCGCGCTCTGCATCACATGAGCGCGCACAGGTGTTTGTACATTTTTGCACGGTGTGAGTGTCAAGGGCTCTTGCCAGAAGACATACGGAACTTGCAGCCTGTTCAATTGTTTTAGAGCTGTGTGCATAAATATGCATGCAACACAAACGTGCGCGCTCTGGGTCCGCGAGCGCACGCACTCGCAAAAAGTACTATGTACGTAGTGTTCATCTGGGGCTGACTGCCATATGGAGAGTACAGTCGTTGGAAACATTTCGGATACAAACTTTATTGGTGTGCCTGCATGCATCATGCATGTGCGCGCTCTCTGTCCGCGAGCGCGCATGAGCGCGCACAAATAAATTTCAGAATTTGTAATCTTGTACTGTCTAGAAATATTTTGCCAACAAACATATCGAAATATCGAAGTTACGAGTTTATCGTGCAAGATGCACTGTTTATGGTATTATAAGCCTGACTGTGGCTACACGCACATTGTATCCTGAATGCGCGCGCTCTGGGTCCGCGAGCGCGCACGAGCGCGCAGAGGCATATATACAGACCCCCATGCCCCTTGCCAAACAAAGGCAAGTTACAATCGTTTCCTTGGGGTAAGTCTGACTGTGGCTACACGCACATTGTATCCTGAATGCGCGCGCTCTGGGTCCGCGAGCGCGCACGAGCGCGCAGAGGCATATATACAGACCCCCATGCCCCTTGCCAAACAAAGGCAAGTTACAATCGTTTCCTTAGGGTATAAGGCACTTTCCAAAAGACTTTGGAAAGTTGCTGTTGGCCACTGGGCAGTAAAGGGGATAGGAGGAGAGATCGCATGGTCCGAGGGGGCTCAACCAGAAAGTTGCTGGGGCCTGGAGGCTCTTTCAGGGACCCGGTTGCTGGGGCCCGGATCAGGTAAAGAGTTGCTGGAAGCTCCAAACCTCGCCCAACTAAGGCTGGGGCTCGGATGGTCGCCCAGAAAACTGAGCTGGGCTGACGGGTTTGGTGGTGGGGGGAAGAATGTTAAGGACCAGGCCAAACGATCAAATTCCAGGACCCGAAAAAAATGTGCTGTTTTTGGGAAGGAGGCGGTCGATCTGCAGCCGCACATTGCAGGTCTGGTCAATATGTAAGATGTGCCAGGGAAGCGGATACATAGCACGTTTAAAGTAAAGAATTCGAAGATATTGTTCAAATCACTTGATCTCACAACAAGCCAAGTTGCTCAAGTATGTGTCTTTAGGACATGCTCGCGATATCTTCTTTTGCAAAACGGACTTAGCCTAAGTCTGTTTTGGAAGAACAGAATCAAGACATGTGTCTTTTGAAAGCAAGACATAATATAGATATCAAATCGTTTCTTCCTCCGGCCATTCTTTTAAGTAGGTTATCGTCCATCAGGAAGGGGTCGTCCGGCTCCTGACGACCGAAGGCTGACTCAAATGTGCGCCGGAGGGCCGCCCGCGGTAGGGGAACTTGCAAGCGTGTGGCAAGGGCAATGTCTGATTCGTGCGTTAAGTGAGCTGGGCTCCTAGCTATGCCTCGAAGATGCCGCATCACCAGTGTTTGAATCTGAGCATGGTGCTCCTCCGTGAGTTCGCAGACTTCTAGTCCGTAGGCCAGACAGGGCCACACTGTGGCGCGCCAAAGATGCACTCTATGGACCACTGTCAGGGTGCGGTAAGCATGGAGCACGCTCCTGAGCCGAGAGTGTGCTGCTTTGGCCAGAATGGTCCTGCGTCGGAGCGTGGCTGTTGCGCTAGAATCATAAGTGGTGACCGCACCCAAATAGTCAATCTTACGTACTAGAGGCAAGAATTCATCACCATTTTTAGTGTAGACACGGAAGAGCCTACCAGTTTCCAGGGTGCGAGTGAGTTTCTGTATGACAGTGCTGCGTTGGGTGCCTTCCATTGTGAGGATTGCCTGAGCCTTGGTAGCATGAACACTCATACCATGTTTGCGCAGGGTAGTGATAATAAAGCCAATTTGAGCGCTTAGGGTCTCCAATTCGTGGTAACTGTGGAAGCACTTACCCACATGAAAATCGTCAGCAAACATAGTAAGGTGTTGTGCCACCCATTCGGGCGTCAGGCGAGCACTCAGACGACGTGTGATTAATGTCATGAAAGCCGCGAAGAGGAGGGGACTGGCCGGACAGCCCTGCTTCACACCTCGAGTGGTGGGGATGTGTGCACACTGGCCTCCTACAGACAAATCATACGTGCAACGATGCAACCATGTCAAGAGCAACTCGGCCGGAGCGCCTGTGATGCCAGCTTCCTGCAAGGCCTCAGCAATAAGGTGACGAGGTACGCAATCAAATGCCGATGAGAGATCTAAACAGACCTGTAGGGCTCCGCGAAGGGCTGTGGGCTTGCCCCCGGCTCTCTTAATACGCGGGTCCCTGGTATTGGTTGCTCTGAGTGCCCTTGCATCCGAGTTGTGAAGAAAAACTCGACGCAGAGCGTCGGAAGTCGATCTACCTGTGATATAGGCGAATTGAGGAGAAGTACGGATGTATGTTTCTAAATCCGATCGAAGTTTAGACAGCAGTAGTGAGATCGATGCTTTTCCGAGCGCGTCGAGAAGACCGATAGGTCGAAAGTCTTTTGGCGAGGACCCTGTCTTATGGGGTTTCAACAAAAGAGAAAGGGTGGCCTTAGCCCAGGGCGCCGGCGGGGACAAGGGTGATTGACTCCAGCGTTGATTCAAGAGATCCGTGAGTAAGGGAGCGACCAGGTCCGAGCAGACACGCCAAACAGCACCTGGTGCCGTGGCAGGAGCGCCAGCCTTTCGCGCGGGAAGCTTATCAAGAAACACCCGTAGCTCATGGCACTCAATTTGAAAAGGGGCTTCAGCCTCTTCGATGACAGCTTGTGAGGGCCCTGCGGGGTTGTCATGGTTAAAGACCTGAACGAAATGTTTGCGCATGACCTCTAATTCCGCTGCCGGGGTGAGGATTTGACCTCCCTTGCTCATCTGGAATTTGCGAAAACGGCCCTTGGGAGCCAGCTTGTCAATGAGCTGGTAGAAGAGACGACTGTGACCTTGTCGGACAGCCTGGTCTGCTTCCGCTAACAGAGTCAATCGACGCTGCCTGCGAAGTTCTCGTCCTTGCTGCTGTGCACGACGGTGCATGCGGATGTGCATGACACTGTGACGCCAACATTGAAACATGGCCTGCGCATTCGAGTACGACGCCGGGCGGGCGGCCCATCTGCGTAGGCTACGCAAGTGACCACACATACGGGAGGCATACTGCTGTAAGGTGCCGTCCTGCCAGGGCCGTGGGCCACGAACAGGAGCCTGCTTGGGAAAGTGCCGAATCGCTAGGGAGTAAACCGTATCATGCAGAGATGAAATGTCAGTCGGAACAGGGTCAAGCGCGAGGTATCATGCAGAGATGAAATGTCAGTCGGAACAGGGTCAAGCGCGAGGTGCAAATCCTGACGAAAGGCTTGAATGCGTGGGTCGGCCTTACCAGTGAGGGCATCAGCAATGGCATGTCGATCAATGGCGGGCGCAGAGGAAGGCTGGGAGCAACCTGACCACGGGCGCCAGCTGGTGGGGATTTGGGCAAATACCATGAAGTGCCGAGCTCCACCTCTCCACGCACCCAAGGGGTGATCATGCATAGCGTAGGATTGTCGAGAAATGCTGTCAGCTAGTTCACTTCTGATGAGGAGGAAATCGATTTGGGATCGCTGGGCACCCCACATGTACGTGTGTGGGGGGTGTGAAGCCTGAAAGGTGTTCAGTGCACACAAATCAAGTCCCAGAAGCAAGGCCTGCAAGTCCTCTTGGTCGGTCGCCCACGACTGGGCTCTGGCCATGACATGAGGACCTACATTGGGAACAGAACCAGCACAGGTAGCATTGAAGTCACCGCCAATGATCATGAGGCTGCGTTTGGGGATGATCTGGATCGTCCGTGTGAGCTGGTCTAGCGCCTGATGTCTTAACCTGCGGACATGGTCCGATGCTCGCCATGTATGCTGGTAGAAATTAACGACGTCACAGGGTTGTGATCGTCTGTAAAACTGTATCCTGAGTAGCCGGCCCGGGATCGGCTCCACATGACGCAGAGTGCCTGGATCAACGAGACGTTTGGCCACAATAGTGAGCAGGCCCCCTTGTTTGTGATCAGGTTCCTGGGAGCTACTATGGACGAAGAAGTATTTATGGGTGTCCCAGCTGCTGGAGAATCTCCACTTGGTTTCCTGAAGCATCAGGATATCCACGGGGTGTTGGTGTATGTAGTACAGAATCTCATCATATAAGCCCCCCCCTAAACCGCCTACATTCCATGTGTAGACTTGGAGATGATGCGAGGAGCACGAAGGATGCAACAAGGTGGGTGTGGAAGAGTGCATATGCTGCAACGGGTGTCGGGACCGCAAGTTGGACCGAGCATCACTCGAGGTCGACTAGCGGTGTAGTCGATTGGTTAAGGCCGAGGCCGTGTCCTGGTCGTACCACTTGCCCTTGTACCAGGCCCCACCTGTGCGCAGAATGCGTCGATGGACTCGTTGGAGTGAGCGCTTTACGATTCTCTGTCTCTGCAAGGAGGGCTGTGGCGACCTACAAGTCGCATCCTGTGTTCCCAGAGGCTTCACGGGAGCCTGTCGTGGAACGGGAGTTGATCTCCCCGCTTCACCACTGACCTGGGAAGCCAGTGGAACCCTCACGTCTGATGTAGTAGTGGCGCTGGCTGCTTGCATGTGCAGTAGAAGCAGTCCTAGAGAGGATAGGGATCGGCGGCCTACGAGACTACTACATCTCCCGGACTTGGGACCGGGAGAGCCCTGCAAACGATGGGAGAGAACGGAATTCTCCCTGGCATACAGATTGGTGCCGTGGCTGGGGAAGCATTGAATTGTGCGAATATTGAGTGTGTGATGTGTGCCAATGTCAAATTGCGCAGATCCACGTCGTATATAGACGGCAAAGAAACACAGACCCTGGGAATGAGGGCCAAGCATGCCACAGAGTTCTGCCATGCGGTGCAGACAGCCTGTCATGCGAACGGGAAAACCCTGAGAGCACGCAGTCCATAAATCCCAAGAATGATATGCAATGGGAGCTAGGGTCGTACACAAGATGTGGGCACGTCCCTTGCACATGGAGGCATTAGCTGGCCTGCGGCGGGCAGCACCTCGAGTGAGGGCAGAACGCGCACGGCGGGGCCTCCTGGCCCATGGGTGTCGACAAAAGAGCCTATTCTTAAGAAGAGTGGGTGCATACCATGATGGATAGCGGACATCAACCCTAAGACGCCACAGCTGGAACTTACCTGAATGTCGACCACATCCCGAGTTGCGTACCCCGAAATGCGGTATGGGTAGCCTGAGCTGCTCCTGGCGGGACGAACATAGGGTACGGCAGCCTGGCGGGGCAGCAGTGCGGGTGCACGAGCTGGACGAACTTGTTCGTACAACGTGTCGACACTGCCCACTGCGGCGTGGTGGCCAAGGGTCACATGAAGGCTCCAACAGGATGAAAGGCAACGCCCCTTGAAAGAGCCAACATCCAAAGACCTCATCTATGGCACCCCTACATGCACACTGAAAGTCCAGTTCAACCGTACCACGAACTGACAGAAGACAGCACCTGCATCCGCACGGTGGATGGAGACGCCTGCCAGTCGATGGGTAACATGCACGAAGAGCTCTGGGTGGCGTAACAGTTCGGGTTCGTCGAGGACACAATCTGATCAAGGGGGTAAGGGCTGTGGTCGACTTCAGGTGAGGCGACGCAGCTGATACGTTGTAGGGGGTGGGTGGTGAGCACAACGATCCCAAAGCAAACCCTAACTCAGCCCAACCCTGCATGTATGATCGCGGCTCCCCAGTGCGTCGCTCGAAGCCGCTGAGCTCATCTAGGAAGATGACCGAATTGTCATCCACCGCGATGGTGGTGCCACTGTGAGCAAGGTGAAAACCCGAGGGTCGGAGCACTCGGATTCGGCCCGAGATCTTGTCGCGCCGCAGAGGGGCGACTCCTGATGGGAAGCCGGTGACGGCACTAACCTTGACCGGGAGGTCTCCTCGTCGTCGAAATCGAGCCAGTTCATAGTCGTCTTCATCCGAGGAAGAGTCAGCAGGTGTCACTCCGGGACTTGCTGCAGCCCTCGCCTCCGCATAGATTGGAGCTACAGCCTCCGGCTTCAGATCGTCCCCCTCTGTGGAGCGAATCACAGACCCTGACCCCTCCGTAGGGTGGTCTGCATCACTAGGAAGTACGTCCTCCGTCACGGCCGCCGGTCCGATCGAAACTGGGTGCGAGCGTGATCTTGGCGCGGCCTCGCAGCTTGGGCGTCGGCTTGGCAAACTCACGAACCGGTGGCAAAGGCGCACTAGGCGCACTACCTCCAGGCACAGATGAGGACGCAGGCTCGGGAGATCGGGGTGGATGAATAATGGTAGAGCATCCAGCCGCTGCATTGCCAGTATCAACCAAAGTTGCCGAGGGACCCGATGCTGCGACCGGCTCTGTCCGTCTAGAAACCTCCACGGCCGCAGGTCCAATCGAATCACCCCTTAGCTTGGGGGTCGGTTTGGCAAACTCACCAACCGGTGATAAGGTCGTACCGCCTCCAGGTACAGGTGTGGACACAGGCTCGGTATGCCGAGGTGGACGAATAATGGTAGAGCATCCAGCCGCGGCAGTGTTGGTATCAGCCAAAGGTGCAGAGGGACCCGAGGCTGTGGCGGGCTCTGTCTGCCTAGAAACCTCAGCCGAAGGCCGAGGTGGCAATGCACCCGCAGGCCAGTGACGTCCAGTAGTGCGGCGTCTGGCAGGAGGGGAACCAACGTTAGTAGGCGAAGGAACCGATGTGAGGGCTGAGTCTGCTTGGCGGTGATGCTCGACGAGTCGGGGTCTAGGCTGAGGCGGCCTCCCAGTGGAGGTAGAGGCCTTGGCATGTGCGGGTCCAGACTGTTCCGATATCAACGCCGCAGCCGCCGAAAAGAGGAAAGGGCCCAAGCCTCTCTCATGGGTACCGCATAGTCACGCCCCATCAGGCTGGCCATAGCCATGAACTCATCTGGCGCCATCTCCCGACGCAACGCATTAGAGCAGAAATTGGCCGGGTCAGACTCGGCAGGGCCGGAAGATCTGACCATCTCCGCAGCAGATCCCCGTGCAGCCTGATCAAGTGTGTCCCTGGCTTCAGTGTGCCTCGTCGAAGCTGCTGTGGCAATACCGACAGAAAACACCGTAAGAGGCCGAGCTGATCCAGTCCCAGCCGTAGTGTCAGTGTCTAGTCCCTCCGAGCTCTCATAGGAGGAGCTATCAGCATCTCCATCGGTCCCTGCAGTGCGGATGCGCTTTGGGGGTCGACGTGCTTCACGCTCTGTATCCCGAGGCCGGCGACGTCGCCCTGCTCTCCGCCCTCTTTTCCCCATACTGGAGACAGATGCCCCAGCTTGTTCCGCGCAGATCGTCAGACCATGCACGCTGAGCTCAAACGCGCAAACACTAGAGACCCAAGCCCGAACGGCCATGAAGTCAATGAGGATTAACCAGGGATCCCAGGAACCCTTACTGGCCTGAGAGGTTCGGCTGCATTGGAGAGGTTGGAAACCTACTTTGGAGGAGAGGGTCTGGAATCCTACCTTAGTGCGCGGTTCCTGCAGTACAGCTTTCCTGGAGCTAGTGGCAGTGAGACTCAAGAGATGCGCATTCTGCCAGGGCGGTGCAACAAGCTCAGGAAATGGCAGCAGCCAGGCGGGGAAGGGACCCTTAAGCTTACGCCCAGAAGAAGAGCAACCCCTAACAAATCCTCCCCAAAGTGGATGGACACCTGAGCGGTGAAGGCAGGCCCAGCTGACCGCCGCGCGAGGCGATTGGGGCAATACCTGCATGCAAGGCTGTGGTGGAGGGTATTGGCATGAGAGGGGTAAGCAGGTGGCGCACTGGAAATGCAAACCGCACCACAGCAGACCTACACGGGCATGTCTCTCGGATGGAGCACAACAGCGGGCGGAGGTGAACCTCCAACACCGCGCCGGGTGCAGCGTGCCTGATGGTGGTGAAATCATGGCAACCTCGTTGCTCGAGATGTCCTGCATGTCCTGCAGAGGCACGGATACCTTAGTCCATTGTATTAAGATCCATCTGGAGGCGCGTCGTTCGGGTAGTAGAGCAAGAGGCATTGGTAGATGTTGCTGAGACCAGTGCTCGGGCGTGTCTGCGCGCGTCCAGCTGAGAGACTGCCGGTGTCGTGGATCCAGAAGCGGAGGTGCACGAGAGCAGGGATGAGTGAAAGCGGAGTCCACGTAGCTTGATGTTGCAGGCAAGGCTCTTATCGCCTGTAGACATAGTGGGGGCAGCGCCAATGCGTCCATTGTCCAGCCACTGCTGAGCCGAGGAATGCTTGTCATCCCCCATCCCTGAACGTGTAGCAGAAGCAGAGTCCATACCAGCATAAGTAGCGTCTGATGGCGCGCGAAGTCAGAGAGCAGATCGGATCAAGCAGCTGCTATGGCAAAAGGACAGGCTTCAACCCTGAACACCCTGAACAGGAGAGACAGGGAGGAGCCCAGGTACGACACACACCAAAAGAACGAAAAAGCTTCCCCAAGGGCACTCAGTTTCAGCTTGGGCCCAGACGCTTTGGTTGCGGTGGTGGTGGTGGTGGCGGTGGTGGTGGGGGCGGTGGCGGTGGCGGTGGTGCTGGTGGTGCCAGTGGTGTTGTTGTTGTTGCTGCTGTTGTCTTGCTGCGTTGCTGTTGTGTCCAGCGGGTCGGGTTCGAGTGCTGATCTTCGGGCGAAGGACAAAGAGTTGGATCTCGTCAGCAAAGCCAACGAACTGACTGAGTCCGATACAAATATACCCTCAACAGTGCTCCTGCTTGTCCTGCAATCCTACAGCCCGTTTCCAGCCCAGCGCATAAATAAACAAGACAGTGTACCTCAGAGCCTAGAAATGCCCAGCAGACTCCTGACTGAGCAAAACTCGGAGCCTTGCAGCAGCCCATGCTGCCGCAGAGACGGCTGCTGGGCTTGCCGCCGCTGGCTGGGCCTGGCGACCGTCTGCAGCCGTAGCATTGAAGTCAGGATTTTCGAAGCATATCCACGCTGCTTGGACTTGCTGGGCTCGAGACCGTGGGAATTGGGAGCTCCATGTAGGTCCAGTGTCAAAAGAACGGAGCTTCAGAAACAGCCGAAATAACTGAAGAGCTAGATCTACTCACTACATTTCATTTTCTGTGCGAAACAACCTGGCCGCAGCGCATCAAGGATCTGGTCTTCCTGCTGCATCAGTCTGAAGCTTTAGGAATCCAGCCTTGAAGAGCTCGACACTCAAGAGCTCAAGAGCACTTATATATCAGCCGAAACTGAGACAAACCCGCCCCGAAGGCCAGAAATGACACTGCGAACTTCCATCGTCTTTCGAGGCTCGAAAACAATGCTGCTGCAGCTCCATGCTGCAAGCTGCACCTATACCTTTCGATATGTCGCAGCTCTGCAGCTTGAGTAGTTCCCTTTTTATCAGGCTGCGCACCTCCAGGCGCATGCAGATGTGAGAAAGCAGCTCCTCGCCAGAGATGGTGCTCTTTTCAGATTTGCTGACACAAACACCCAGACGTGACAGTGTTTGCACAAGAGATTTATGCATCAGAGTATAAGTCATATAAGTAATATAGGGGCCTAAATAATTACCAATACTATTTTTTTGGGGGGTTCCTTCCTGTGATCATCGTATTCCTATGATTTTTCTTATTTTTTATTATACCCCAAAAAACCCTCTTCTAACTATTAAGGGCACCTCCCTACATTAGGGCCCTTTCTCAACCATGGCCTTATAGGTGCTGCAGAGGCCGATCTCCGCCCCCCAGCACCCCTAAACCCCACAAACCCTAAACCCTAAACCCTACAAACCCTAAAAGCCCTACAAACCCTAAAAGCCCTACAAACCCTAAACCCTACAAACCCTAAACCCTAAACCCTAAACCCTACAAGCCCTACAAACCCTACAGGCCCCAAAACCCTAAACAACCCGGGAGATCCTTGGCCACCGGCGCCTCCCCGGGGACCTGGGAGAGGCGGCCGAAGGCCCAGGCCTCGTGGGTTTTCATAGGGTTTAAGGAGTTTAGGGCTTTGGGTTTTTTTTGGGTCTTTTAGGGTTTTTAGGGCTTTAGGGTTTAGGGGTTTTAGGGCTTTTAGGGATTTGGGGTTTTAGGAATTCAAGGCTTTTAGTGTGTAGGGTTTAGTGCTTTAGGGCTTTTAGGGATTTAGCGATTTAGCCCCACACCTCTAAACCAGAACCCTTCGGGTGCGCAGTATGGCTAGAAAACAAAGGCGAGTCCTGGCCTGTTTGGCCAATTGAAGTCCGGTTGCTCGTGGAATCCTCGTCGACAGCTCGGGCTCCGGGGTCCCGATCTTGCGGGACTTTCATGATTCGGGCCTTGGGGTTTTCGGGTCTCAGGAGCCTGGTGTCAGAGATTTGCCTGTTAGCAAAGGAAACAAGCTGTTTTTTTTTTTGGGGGGGGGGGCAAGTCTTTTTCGTGATGATAGAGTTCAAGAATGAAAGATTGACTGCCCGCGCAGCAGCTGTCACTTCATCAATCCGTAAGAAATGCACCGGCCGAAATGAATGCGTTGCTGTGTAACACAGCAACCAGTAACTCAGTAAGTGAAAGTTAGTCACTAATGTTAGCCGTGATGCGAGATGAGGCGAATCTAGCAACCATTGTGGGATATATAGACTATCTTTTTTAGACAGTAGAACGGGCACAATGACCACAGCAAGAAATTCGCCAGTGCAGGAGAATGAGCAGCAGCAGCAGCAGCAGCAGTGCAGCAGGACCACCATAACGCCGCCACCGCCGCCGCCGCCACCACCACCACCACCGCCGCTGCCGCCGCCACCACCACCACCACCAGCACCACCACCACCACCACCACCACCACCAACAACAACAACAACACAAGCCGCCGCAGCAACAACAAAAACAACAAAGCAACAGCAACAGCAAAAGCAACCACGGCAGCAGCAGCAGCAGCAGCAGCAGCAGCAACAGGGCCACCACCACCGCCGCAGCCACTACCACCACCAACAACAACCACGACAACCACCACCACCACAACAGCAGCAACAGCAGCAGCTACACCAGCAGCAGTAGCAGCCGCACACAAAGTCGACTGAAAACCGCTTTGACGGCATTATCAGGGGCAACCGTCACCTTGTAAAACAAGACCAGTCTAAGCGCACACTGTCAAACTATGCAGAAGACTGAACAGAGGTCTGGCTCCAAGGCTTTGCTATGGAGTGTGACCATGAAACATGAAGCCGCCATGAAAAAACAAACAGTCACCACCACAATCCGCCATAACAACAGTGAAAGCATAACTATAAGCCAGTGAATTCCAGCGTCCTCTTGGCCAGAATACTGCGGAGCTGTTGAAGCCCAGGTCGATGTCCCCAGGCGAGGCGGTGTATCAGTGTCGTGAGTGTGGAGACGTCCTTAGAGGTGCCAATGGGTGCTTCTACTGTTGCTATTGCCAACTTCCGGCACCCTGCTACGACGACGACGACGACTACTACGGTTGATGATATAAATCCTGCATTATCCATAGTAAGTAATGTACCACAATTCCCGGAGTTTAGGGTCCTTAAGGTAGTGCAGGGTTTATATCACCAACAGTATGACTCCTACTCCTACTATACTACCTATGTGGTTTATTTGTCAAAGGGCTGCTCGGACCTTTCTGCTGAAGCCCAAGAATGCACGTCACCGAGGGATCAACATTCCTCATGAGATATTGAGAGAAGCTCCTTTGAACTTGTCGGCCATGTCACGAGATGGTCACATTCGGCTGGACCAAGCTGTCCCAACAGCTTCTCCAGCTCTAAGGGCCTGGGAGTCACGAAGAAGTCGGAAGCTCCTCTCTAAACAAAATGGAACAACCTGTGCTCACAGAGTTGCAAAGCCCAGGTGCGATGCCGCCGCGGCCAGCTTCGATCGGAGCTGCCGCGTCATGGTGGCTGCTTCTATTCTGCTGGATCGCAAATCACGTGGACAGTTTAGAGATGGTCGTGGTGTAGATGGATAGACCGATGGATCAAACACAGAAAGTATTACCCTGTAGACACGTGTTCTATGATCGAACATCGCACCTATTTATTCCTTGCTTCATGCACATGCTTAGGTTTTGTGCATACGCACACGGACACACACAAACACACAGACTAACTCTCTTTCTGTCTCTCTTGTGTGCTTCCTAGTGTGAAGTCTCTGCTGCATGTTGCAACATAGTTCTGCGGTAGTTGCCTGTAGATACCCGGCTGCTACATGTCATCATGAACCTACATGCACTCTGGTGCGATTTATCATGTGAAGCTGCTGCCGCAGGGTTTCGGGTCGGTGTGGCGGCTCGTGGAGAGCTCGCAAGAAACAGGGTGCCTGAAACAAGGGCTTCGTGGCATCGTCGGTGTCCGTCTTCCGTGTTTGATTCGGATGCTTGAGAAGGTGGCAGGGTGTTTGCACCTAGAGATTGCAGGTACGACCGCTGACATCTCGCACAGTACAGCTCCGCTGATGTACACTACAAGCATGATAGGTACAAGCGCTTGTACAGTCATCCACAAGCCAGCTTCGTGCCTGACCGCATTATCCCGCTGGCGGCGCAGCGCATCTGCCTCTGCCTGAAGGTGCAGCGTCATGTCTCGATGAGGTCCACCGAGACTTCGGCGTCAGGGAAAGAAACGAACCTTTGCCCCCTCTCAATGCCCAACAGCCCCTTCACCGGCAGAGGCAGGGTCGAATAACGCTGGCAATCAGTTTACGCGCTGGCTTGACACAAATGTTCAATTGTCTCCTGTCCTATTGTGACTAATTCCGTGAGTACATCTGACCCTATGGCCCTGCACTCCAAAGCTCAGATCCCAAATCGATTTCAGTCCCAGCGGAAAACGGAAAGCAGCTCATGGTGTCTTCGAAGTCTGTATGTTTCGTCATCGTCTCTTCTCCCTTTCCATGGGCATGAGGATGGCCCCTCTTCGGGTTCAAGGTTTAGGCAAGCCTTGGGATACCTTATGTAAGGCTCCCCTCTTTTCGGTTCTAGGTTCGGGTTCCTCCTTTCCGGTCATCTCCGAGAAGCAATGACCGTCGACAGCGCCAAAGACTAAGCCCGTCAGCCCGGAACCTCTTCGAGTCCTACGTAGAATCTCCGTCGAGTTCCTTTTCAGGGTTGCCTTGTTGGATCCGAAATGGAAAATATGGTTGGACAAAACAGGAACTACAATGGAGACTATAGGTACCCCTTTAGGTACGGACAACCTCAAACCCGATGCACAGGACCACCCCCGCGTGCCTTGCTCTTCGACAGAGACAGGTCGGAAGCAGCTTGGGCCAACTCTGCGGCCTGGACGGGCACTGGGTTAGTTGCCGGATGCTCTTCGTATTCTTCCTATGACTTCTTGTGGTTACCGGCAATGCAAATAACTTTCGCTTGCTTGCTTCATGCGCTACTGCCAAGAAAGATCTCGTAGCCTCGGCTGACAAGAGTCTGACCTTGCCAGGTCTCTAGCTCGCCACAAAGCTGACTCGTTCGACGACCGCAGGCAGCGGCTTGCTTTAAACAACATGGAATAGATCTGAAAGCATGAACTTTTGACGTCGCGTGAAGCTCGACATAGATACTCAAAAATCGCACAGCATAACCCAACATTGCGTCAGATATGGAACTAATTAGTAGCACACCTCGTTCGCTGTCACGGCGCTAGCCAAAATTCCTCTGCAACACCTAAGTCGCCTCATTCAGCCTTCGACAAGCCGATCAACTCCCTTCGTCGCTGCAATCTCCCAGTCCTTCTCAAACTCATCGCGCTGCCGGGCTAAGGCCAATTGGAGAGCCTGGACTCTCTGATGAAAAACTGTTTTGCTACAAGAGGTTGCAAGAGATATGCACGTGGCGGGAAGCTGTCCCGGGAATCTGTTTAAGTTTGGACGGCGCGAGGGGGGATTCGCCGGGCATTCCGGGATGATAGTAATGGCGGTGGTAGTGGTGGTGAAAGCTGTCGTAGTACAAGTAGCAGTAGCAGTAGCAGTACGCAAGAAGAGGAGGCTGCCCTAGCAGGCAGAGAGGAGGAGGAGGAGGAGTCGGGGTGTTGGTGATGCTACATGTCTGTTTGGAACGGCGGCCTATGAGCAGCTTGCTATCTGTGCGCCAGGCACCTTCGGCGTCTGAAGACATGTCGCAAGGACCCGACCCCTCCCCCAACCGACTGCTCGAATCAATCCAGGACGGTAGCAACCTCCAACACAGAATCTCGACCTGAGTTCGTTCGGGGGAATGTTCGGACGCTCACCTGCTCCTGATTGCTCCGCTGCTGCCTGAGCTCCTTCAATCGTTTTTTCGTCGCTCGTTCAGTGCTATTGACTTGATGTGGACTTTGCAGTCACAGTGTCACCACTCTGTCACACGGTACTTTGCTATATTGTGTTGTGTCTTGTCCGGGCATCCCAACATATACACGCATCTATAGATAGATAGATAGATAGATAGATACATAGATAGATAGATAGGTAGAGATATGTATGCGCATGTGAAGCTTTGTCGCGCTAGTAGCTATTGTACACATGTAGTTAGCTCTGGGATATTTATGCGCTGCACAATCATATTGCCGAAGCTATGCATCAATCTACACACCTATCGATCTACCTATCCATCTATCTATTGATCTGCCCATCGAACTACATGTCTAACCATCTCCCCGTCTCCTTATATCACTATCACTATCGCTCTAACCCTCTACCTATCTATCTATCTACCTATATATCTGCCTAACTGTCTAACTACATTATCTGCCTATCTCGCTGTCGCTCTATGTATCCATCTACCAACCTACCTGACTATCGAGCTACCGATCGATCGATGTAGCTATCGATCCACCTATCTATCTATCTATCTATCTATCTACCTATCTGTCTATCTATCTACCTACCTGCCTATCTATGTATCTATCTATACTTCTATGTGTCTATCTGTCTATCTATCTGTCTACCTATCTGTCTATCTACCTATCTATCTACCTATCTATCTATCTGTCTATCTTTGGACCTGATCTTCTCATGCACATATCGACGTACAGATGCATTTATGTGCACATATGTGTGCATATACACATCGGTGAAGGTGAACATGCAGACGGATGCATGGACATACAATACAACTAAAGAGGTAGATGCGGATACAGATGCGCAAATGTACACATATATACATGCCTAACTACAGTATACAGAGTGTATATGTATACATATATATATATACACATATATATATATATGTGTGTGTGACAGAACTGAAAATGTTCAAGTACCTTGATACAATACATAACAAACCAAAACACTGCATTACATGTTTACACATTAATTACGTTATGTTACATCACGCATCTGCACGTACATACACACGTACGTACATACACACACACACACGTGCGCAATCACACACACATACGTCTATAAATAAATACATACATGAATACATGCACACATCCATGCATGCAGGCATACATACATGCATACATTCTGTCCGTCCATCCATCCATCACTCCTTGCCTGCATGCGTGCATAACAAAATGCATACACACGACCCACCCACCCAGCCCCTCACCCCACACCCGCCCATCCACACACACAGACACACCCACACAAACACACACACGCACACACACACACACACACCCCAACTCACACATAAAACAAAGCAAAAATCATGCTTGAATTGCAGTTTGGTGGACTAGTCCGTGGTTCTGTGTACACTCGAGGTGGCCGGAATGGATCACTTCCTACTGTGGACTACCCACCACGTAGCATCTGTGCGAAAACTGCTCTGTTCTCAATTTCTGAAAGCCCAGCCAAAGTAGCTGAGTCACCACTGTTCAGAGAGGATCTGCAGAGGCGAAGCCTAAACTCCAAAACCCTAAAGCCCTAACCCTTGAACTCAGCACAGCCTGAACCCTGAAACCTTAAGCCGCGTCCTGTGCTGCTTCCTCCTTCTCTTGTCGCAGGGCTGCAATTTCAGCCTCCCGCAGGGCTTTCGGGTTCCTTGAATTCAACCTTGCGAGAGAATCCAAGAATGCCTTGGCAAGCTAAGCGGTGTGGACTGGGGATCGACATGCTGACTTGTCGTGCTGGAGTTTCAAGGTGTCTCAGGAGCTGGTGTAAAGGCAGCAGTGCCTCGCACTGTGCAAGCGTCGAGCGCAAAGATTCCATCGCCTTGCGTGCTTCCAGTCTGCTCTCGCAGGGCCAAGGGCAGACCAAAGAAACTCGTGAAACGAGGGCCACCTTCTTGTGACTGTGAGTAAGCAGCACAGCGGAAAGACAAGATCGGCCTCCTCGCCCTTCTCGGCTAAGGCCATGCTCTCTTTTTGAGAGTCGGCCTGGTCGGCTGAACTGACTCCGGCTGACGGAACCGATGGTGTTGCGTGGGTGTTCTGCCGTCCATCTAAAGCAGCTGGACATTCCATCATGTTGAGGAGGATGACAGCAGGGGGTGCAAGTGTGGAGATGCGGGCATGGGTGAGTTGGTGTGTGTGTGTGTAATCACCAAAGCTCCTATGCCGCTTTTCTCTTGCTGCATGTCTTGAGGTTGGTCACCCGCACATGGAGTCGGTTCCAGCTAATTAATCAGTCTTCTTTTTGGATCTAAACTTGCACTTTTGACAACACAATGCAAACATCCCGCGAACCCCGACAAGGCGTCGACCGACACAAGCAAGGGACACGACAGGCTGTCGGGGAGACCTGTGTGGATGTGCATAGCATTGCATAGCTCAGCTATCGCATATGCTACAGTTACAGCCTTATGGTTCAGTTTGTTTGTCTTCGATGCACTGTGCACACAGGTAGGTAGAGAGAGAGAGAGAGAAAGCGTGGAAGAACCAGAAGGAAAGTGACAGAGAGAGAGAGAGAGAGCGTCAGAAAGAGAGAGCAGAACAGTACATGCGAAAATTTGCTATGCACCACATGCAGCAGATGTTTGACAGGGTACCAGGCTCACTGTGAAAGCATTTGACCTGACCTCACCCAAAACCTCGTCGTCTTGAAATCCGCACCAGGGCCAGGGGAGAACAAAAGGTAAGTCTGAGCCGGCAGGGAATTCTCATCTCGAGTCCGGCTCCTGTAACCGCGTTCGACGAATCATTTATAAGTCCTGAGGCTCGATTCCCCTGAAAAGCTCTACAGCAATTTGCGTGTGGACAGCGATAGACAAGAGATGTCAATCTTAAGACAGCCCAAAGCACAAGTCCACGGGGTGTGTGCCTCTCGTTTCCGGGCTTCCTGCAGAGCAGCGTATATAAAAAATGCTTGGCGGGGCTGCGGCTTTGGTGGCAGTCTCTCATGAAGACGTCCTAAAACGGAAAAGGCTGGTTGATTTCAGGCTTCATGTCTTCTCCGACTTGGATGCCCATAGATCACTCGGAAGTGGTTGTGGGTGCAGGGCGGAGCCTTCAGGATATGTCAAGATGCCTGCTCATCGCCTGGCCTCAGGAATGAACCCTGACAGACGACAACTGCATCTGCTATCTGTGTTGCGTTGCGATCAACTTTACCTGACTGGCCTACTGTCAGAGAGAATGCCTGCGATATCGTTCCAATGCTGAGAAGTTCTCGGTCACGCTTTAGGACCCGAAGAAACTGACAACTGTGTGTGGTGACGCTAATACCATTAACCCCAAACCCTGAACCCAACACCTCTTTAGGGTGATTCCGTTTCGGGGCTTTTCCGGTGCCTGCAACACAAAAGCTGCAGGTTACGGCAACGCAAGGGTTTGGGG